CCCCCAGCACCATCCCACCCAGCTCACCAGCAGCCTCCTGCTGGGACAGACCTCGTGGTGACTACTGGGCATGGGGACAGAGATGCAGGAGGACCTGCCAGCAGCACAGCCCCAACGTGGGGGGCTCCAGGCCCAGGAGGGCAGGGCAGGAGCAGCACAGCCAGGAGCAGCCAGCCCAGCCCCCCCACCCGCAGCCCCACAGCCCAGTATCTCCTGTCTCCACTGCTGGGGTGCCCGGTAGGTGACACAGCTCCTTGTTATCCCTCTGGTTTGGTCCTTCCTGACCAGCACAGCTAATGGAAATGGAAACTAGTGAGAGCTTCTGAGTAGGCACTGGTTTCTCCAAGCTCTTGTCTTCCATGTGGGTCCTGAGAGCAATTTCAGAGAGTCACAGGATCCCAAACTGGTTTGGTTTGGAAGGGACCTTAAAGATCATCTAGATCCAACCCCCTGCATGGGCAGGGACACCTCCCACCAGCCCAGGCTGCTCCAAGCCCCATCCAACCTGCCCTTCAACACTGCCAGGGATGGGGCAGCCACAGCTTCCCTGGGCAACCTGGGCCAGGCTCTCACCACCCTCACACCAAAGAATTTCCTCCTCATGTCTCACCTCAATCTCCCTCTTCCAGTTTTCATCCATCCCCCTCATCCCATCCCTCCCTGCCCTTGTCCCAAGTCCCTCCCCAGCTTTCCTGGAGCCCCTTCAGGCACTGGAAGCTGCTCTGAGGTCTCCCTGGAGCCTTCTCTTCTCCAGGCTGAACACCCCAACTCTCCCAGCCTGTCCCCAGAGCAGAGCTGCTCCAGCCCTGGGATCATCTCTGTGGCCTCCTCTGGCCTCTCTCCAACAGCTCCGTGTCCTTCTTGTGTTGGGGACCCCAGAGCTGTTCCCAGCCCTGCAGGGGGGTCTCAGCAGAGCAGAGGGGACAATCCCCTCCCTGGCCCTGCTGGTCACACTGCTGGTGACACAGCCCAGGACAGTTCAGGTGGAAGTGATGCTTCATGCTCCATGGGCACCTCCCTGGACCCTGAGGAGCTGTGTCCATGCAGCTTCTTGGGCAGAAACTGGCTGGAAGTTGCTGTTCCCTGAGAAGAGAAGCACAGAAGCTTTTGCAAGCCTGGCCTGGCCCCAAGAGCAGCTGCACCAGGAAGTTTTTGTTAAGATATCTGGAGGGTGATGAGGTCTTGCAGAAATCTGAGCAGAGTTGATGGAACAGCCTGAGAGCAGAATTTCTCATGGGGACTTTTCTTCTCTTGTGATCCATGTTCAGAGGAGGGAAAAGGGTTGACTGGAGGGGAGACAAATTGCAGTTGAAGAGACCCTAAAGACCATCCAGTCCCACCCCTGCATGGGCAGGGACACCTCCCAGCAGCCCAGGCTGCTCCAAGCCCCATCCAACCTGCCCTTCAACACTGCCAGGGATGGGGCAGCCACAGCTTCCCTGGGCAACCTGGGCCAGGCTCTCACCACCCTCAGCAGGTCTCCTCTGCTTCCCACAAGGAGACAACCCACTTGCTTTTGCTTTTAGGAAGCTCTTTCAACAGCTCCATCCTCTTGTCTCATTTGTCAGTGACTTTTCCACCCTGGTTCCCATCGTTTCATCCTGGTGAGGTCAAGATTTACTTCCTACCCCCCCATTTTTGCTCCCTGCTCCTTCCCGCTCTCTCCCAGTTATCCCATTTCCACTGCTTCCTGATGGCACTGGGCCAGTTTGACCTAATCTATGTATAACATACAATGTCAACAGGAAATTCCCTCCTGCTTTTGGGGTGACTCACTGAGCAACCTGCATTTTTTTTTCCACCACCAGCCACTCCTGAGCTTCCCTGCAGGCTGCTGGGGGCTCCTCTGCTCTCATGTAGCTCATTTTGCAGCATAAAATGCTCTTGGAAAGCAGGGTGAAGTAGTTGAGAGGTGGTTCCTGGTGGGATGCAGCCCTGGAGGGGGTGTGCTGGGTCAAGCTGCTGCCTTTTGCTGGAGCACTGAGCTGGGTCATGGTTTGATCCTGGGTTTTGTTCATGGACCTTGTCCCAGAACCTCACTCTGTTCTTCCAGCCAGAAAAGCTCCCAGAGGAGTTTCCAGCCATGTTTTCTTTCATCTTGATGAGCTTTCTTCTCCTTGGGGTTCTCATCCCTTCCTGACACATGGAGACAAGGGTTTCCTCTGCCTTCCCTGTCTTATTTTCCCTCTACTGATCTGATGGTGTTTTTGGCATCTGTTTGTAACCCGTAAGTCTCAATTTCTGCTCTGTCTGCTCTCATGAGACCCCCCTGGAGAACTGTCACCAGTTCTGGAGCCCCCAACATAAGAAGGGCATGGAGCTGTTGGAGAGAGGCCAGAGGAGCCACAGAGATGATCCCAGGGCTGGAGCAGCTCTGCTCTGGGGACAGGCTGGGAGAGTTGGGGGGTTCAGCCTGGAGAAGAGAAGGCTCCAGGGAGACCTTAGAGCAGCTTCCAGTGCCTGAAGGAGCTCCAGGAAAGCTGGGGAGGGACTTGGGACAAAGGCAGGGAGGGATGGGATGAGGGGGATGGATGAAAAGTGGGAGAGGGAGATTGAGGTTGGACATGAGGAGGAAATTCTTGGCTGTGAGAGTGGTGAGAGCCTGGCCCAGGTTGCCCAGGGAAGCTGTGGCTGCCCCATCCCTGGCAGTGTTGAAGGGCAGGTTGGATGGGGCTTGGAGCAGCCTGGGCTGGTGGGAGGTGTCCCTGCCCATGCAGGGGGTGGGAATAGATAGATGATCTTTGAGGTCCTTTCCAACCCAAACCATCCCATGATTGTGATTTCATCAGACATGCTCTGTACCTCTCCCCATCTTTGTCCTTCCCAGAACAAGGATGGTTCTCTCTGCTCACAAGCTCTTGCCCTTCCATTGCAGGGCTGGTTTCTCACCCTCTGTCAGAAACAAATCATGGACCAAAGATCTTTTCAGTGGTTCCTGCAGGGAATGTGCTCTCCCCTTGAGCCACATGATGTTTTTAGGGGGAAGGAACTGGCCAATTTTGCAATGTAGAGCCCTACCAGTGGACAATCCTGAAATTTTCCAGCAGCCAACCCAGTTCCCTGCAGGGAGGGAGCAGGAGAGGCAGCAGCTGCTGTCACCGTGTGGGATTTGGGCTGTGTAGGAGCCTGGAGTCATGGAATCATGAAGGTTGGAGAGACTTTAAAGATCATCCAGTCAACAGCCTCCCTGGGCAACCCATCCCAGTTCCTCACCACCCTGAGAGTGAAGAATTTCCTCTTAATATCTCACCTCAATCTCCCCTCTCTCAGTTTAAAACCATCACCCCTTGTCCTGTCACTGTCTTCTCTGATGAAAAGTCCCTCCCCAGCTTTCCTGGAGCCCCTTCAGGCACTGGAAGCTGCTCTAAGGTCTCCCTGGAGCCTTCTCTTCTCCAGGCTGAACCCCCCAACTCTCCCAGCCTGTCCCAGAGCTGCTCCAGCCCAAGGATCATCCTCATGGCCCTTCTCTGGACCCTCTCCAACAGCTCCATGTCTCTCCTGTGCTCAGGGCTCCAGAGCTGGACACAGCACCCCAGGGGGGTCTCACCAGAGCAGAGCAGAGGGGACAATCCCCTCCCTGGCCCTGCTGGCCACACTTCTTGGGATGCAGCCCAGGACACAACTGCCCCTCTGGGCTCCAGCCCTCACTGGGGGCTCATGTCCAGCTTCTCATCTCCTCCCACCCCCAGGACTCCTAACAATCCATTCTCCCCCAGCCTGGACTGGTGCCTGGGCTTGCACCAACCCAGGGGCAGGACCCTGCACTCGGCCTTCTTGATCTCCATGAGGTTGGCACTGGCCACCTCTCCAGCCTGTCCAGCTCCCTCTGGATGGATCCCTTCCCCCTTGAGTCTCAATCACACCACCCAGCTTGGGATCATCAGCAAACCTCCTGAGGAGACACTCAATCCCACCTGGAGGGGCTCAGCATGGGGGGGATGGGTGTGTTTGAGGGCTGATCAGTCATGTCCATCATGAATGTATCATTTCCTTTCTAACAGAAAAGGAAGAGCTGGATCTCAGAAGATGATTTCTACAGACCTTCTCCAGGAGAGAGCAGTGAACACGAGGCCAACACCAATGGTTTTGGGCCTGAGGGGCCTGGGGAGGGTCCTGCCCCAGGGCTCATCAGTGCCCTGGATCTGGAGAGGCTGTCAGTGCCATCCTTGGAGACTGGGAAGCCCAAGATGTCACCTGAAGGGGAACAGAAAGGCTTCAGCGTCGTGCACCGCCGGCAGATGGGTACAGAGCACCCCCTGGGTCTGGGTAGTGCCCAGGGTGGGGGGCTGGGGGGACGTGTGGGAAGCACAGTGTCCATTCCTGAGCTGGGGAAGGTAGTGGAGCAGCTTCTCTTGGTGTTGCTGAGCCCACCAGGGCTCTAGTGGGAGGTGTTTCAGGAGGAGGGGGGTGGTGCTGGAGGCTTCTGCCCACTCAGTGGGACACGAGTTCTTTGTGTTCTCAGCCTCCAACCCCAAGTGCACGTGGAGAGATAATGGAGATGGAGCAAGGAGGTCCTGGAGAGTTTTGCCCCATCCCACCAGGATCAGCTCTCAAAGCTGATCTCACTGGTTGCTCATTGCCTGCCACCCGTTGGCTTTTCTCTCCCCACCACCTTCCCCGTTTTCATAGAATCATGGAGTGGGTTGGGTTGGAAGGACCTTAAAGCTCATCCAGTCCCACCCCTGCATGAGCAGGGACACCTCCCACCAGCCCAGGCTGCTCCAAGCCCCATCTAACCTGCCCTTCAACACTGCCAGGGATGGGGCAGCCACAGCTTCCCTGGGCAACCTGGGCCAGGCTCTCACCACCCTCACACCAAAGAATTTCCTCCTCATGTCTCACCTCAATCTCCCTCTTCCAGTTTTCATCCATCCCCCTCATCCCATCCCTCCCTGCCCTTGTCCCAAGCCCCTCCCCAGCTTTCCTGGAGCCCCTTCAGGCACTGGAAGCTGCTCTAAGGTCTCCCTGGAGCCTTCTCTTCTCCAGGCTGAACACCCCAACTCTCCCAGCCTGTCCCAGAGCTGCTCCAGCCCTCCCATCATCTCCACACCCTCCTCACCTTTTTTCCTCCACTTCAACCGCGACACCTTTTTTTCCCCCCCCCTCCAGGTCTTTCCAACCCTTTCCGTGGCCTCCTGAAGTTGGGCAGCCTGGAGAGGAGAGGAGCCATGGGGATCTGGAAAGAGTTTTCCTGCGAGTTGTCCCCTCTGGAGCTGAGGCTCTTCTTGGCCCAGGAGGAGAGGATCTGCGTGGAGAGCCACTCGCTGCTGCGCTGCGAGGCGCTGGCGCTCACCCACCCCGACGGGCGCTTCGACCTGGTCTTCCTGGGCAAGAAGCTTTCCCTGAGAGCTCCTTCCCGGGATGAGGCCGAGGACTGGCTGGACAGGATCCGGGAGGCTCTGCACAAGTGCCGACCTCAGGTGGAGGAGGAGGAGTGGGAGACCTTGGAGTATCCAGAGGATGGGGGTGGTGAAGGTCAAACCAGCCAGGGCGACTCCTCCGCTCTCCTCCAGTACGATGATGTGCCTGGGAACAGCTTGGACTGGGCTTCAGCTCATGAACCAGAGCTGGATGCCATCAAAGAGGCTGTTCTCTACGTGGACATGGACAAAACCTGGGTCCCTTTTATTTTTTCCTTGTCCCTAGAAACTCTCAAATGCTTTAAAGTCAGAAACAATGAGAAAATTTTAAGCAACAGTTACGGTATCGAGACAATCCAGGACATCCTTCCAGACACAAGCCTTGGGGGACCTGCTTTCTTCAAGGTGATCACCTCCAAAGCTGTCCTGAAGCTGCAGGCTGAGAATGCAGAAGAAGCAGCTTCGTGGAGGGAGCTGGTCAGAGGGGTCCTCATGTCCTACCTGGAGAGTGCCGAGGAGGCCCTGACGTTGGGGGGCAGCTTGGATGGGCACTCCCAGGTTGTCCTGAAGAACATTGTGAAGGAAAATGGCTTCTTGTTGCAATACCTGGTGGCCATCCCCGTGGAGAAGGGCCTGGACTCACAGAGCTTCATCTGTGCAGGTAGATGTTGGCTTGTCCAAAAGCTCAGCTCCATCTTGGAGGGTATCAGCATGTTCATTGGGGTGAACCAGGTGGCATCAGGTCTAAGAGGTGTCCTGAGTCCTGCCAACCCAAGCCAGCTGCTGGTTGCCCCAGCCAGTACCCAGCAGCAGCAGGTGGCACCAAGGTGCCATCTGGATAGGGTTCAATGTCCCAAATCAGTGGCACTTCTAGTGGTCCTCGCTGTGTGTGTCCCCCCACCCTGAATCCCACCCCAGCACTGGTCCAACTGGGCTGCTCCCGGGCTCCCCTTTATGGTATCAACACTGAAGGTCTGACCTTGAAGGTGACCTGAGGTGACCCTAGGACCATTTGGTGGCCCCAGCCTGCAGGCAAAGAGCAGCCAAGGGCAGATGCTGCTTTTCCAGTCGTGCACGTTGGGATGGGTGTGACCAGCTGCTCTGCAGAACATCTCCTGAACCTTCCCCAGCACCATGTGCTGGAGCAGGAGAGCACTCCCTGACCTAATCACCTCAGATCATTTGCTCTTTGCCTCAGCAAGTTAATTCATCTCCAGATTTCTCACCTGCTTCCATGAGGCTTCTTCTACCCTCCAGCACTTGGGTTGGGTTGCCCCCTTTTCACCCCCTGTCCCAACCTGAGGACTTCCCTGACCTTTCAGGGTTTCATGAGCCATAAAAGCTTCATTTAATTACATTTTATTAATTTGGAGAAGAACATCTAACCCTCATTGATATAGTCGGGGGGGGGGGGATTCCAGCTGCCCCAAAGTGGGAAGGGTCTTCCCACTCTAATAAAGGCTTTTTTGGGCTTCATCCATCCCAACCTCATCCCTCATGGAGGTGGTTTTGGTGCCCTGTGGTGGCAGCAGCAGCTGAGGGAAGGTGAAATGGGGCAAAGCTACTGGAGGAGGTGGTGGAGCAGGCAGGTGGGATTCAGGTTCTTCCCTAGACCACTGGGGTGTTTCCAAAATTCACTTTTCCTAAAAAAAAAACAACAAACCAACCCAAATAGTTCAACCACTTGCTGGGTAAAAGTGGGTTTAGTAATAATCCAGACCCCCTTGGGACCATGGTGGTCTGAAATCACAGCTCTTTGCCTGCAGGGAAGGGTTGGGGACCTCTCACCAAATGTTCTACACGGGCTTCAGCTCATCTCCAACCCTGCCAGAAACTTTCTTTCCCTCTTCCCCCTTCCCAAAAGTTTCTCCCTCCATCTTGGAGGTGATGAAAAGGGGCTCATCAGGTCCCCTCTGATCCCCTCTCATCTCCTCCTCCAGGCTGCTCCAGGCAGATTGGCTTCTCCTTTGCCAAACCCAAGCTCTGCTCCTTCTCTGGTCTCTACTACTGTGACAGTTGCCACCAGGATGAGGAGACAGTGATTCCCTCCCGCCTCATCCACAACTGGGACCTGAGCAAGCGAGGGGTAGGTCTGACCTGGGTGGGTGCAGGGAGCAGGGAAACACTCCTGTGTAGAGCCCCAGACCAATTTGGGTTGGAAGAGACCTCCAATATCATCTAGATCCAACCCCCTGCATGGGCAGGGACACCTCCCACCAGCCCAGGCTGCTCCAAGCCCCATCCAACCTGCCCTTCAACACTGCCAGGGATGGGGCAGCCACAGCTTCCCTGGGCAACCTGGGCCAGGCTCTCACCACCCTCACACCAAAGAATTTCCTCCTCATGTCTCACCTCAATCTCCCTCTCTCATCTTAAACCATCTGCTTTCCTGAAGGTCCATCTGAATGTCTCCACCACCAGCAGAGGTGGAGATGTCCACCCACCACCTCCCTCTGAGCCTCCCAGGCTGTTCCCTGGTACTTTGCCCACCTCTTGCTTCTCTCTGCCCCAGGTTTGCAGACAAGCTTTCAAGTTCCTCACCCAGATCCAGAACCAGCCACTGATCGACCTGGAGCTGGTCAACCAGAGCCTCTATGACCACGTGGAGAGGATGAGACGGATCCACCAGAGCAGGGAGCAGCTGAAGCTGCTGGGGGATTATCTCACCATGTGTCGCAGTGGGGCCCTGAAGGAGCTGAGCAAGAGGTGAGGTCCCTCTCTGGGTGATCTCACCCCCTGCAGTTTCCTCTTCGCCCTCCTCATGGTCTCCTGGTTACTCAGTGTTGGAGCAGGGAGTGATGCTGCCACGGGCTGGTTTTTAGAGAATCATGGAATGGTTTGGGTTGGAAAAGACCTTTAGGGTGATCAAAGATGATCCCAGGGCTGGAGCAGCTCTGGGACAGGCTGGGAGAGTTGGGGGGTTCAGCCTGGAGAAGAGAAGGCTCCAGGGAGACCTTAGAGCAGCTTCCAGTGCCTGAAGGGGCTCCAGGAAAGCTGGGGAGGGACTTGGGACAAGGGCAGGGAGGGATGGGATGAGGGGGATGGATGAAAACTGGGAGAGGGAGATTGAGGTGAGACATGAGGAGGAAATTCTTTGGTGTGAGGGAGGCGAGAGCCTGGCCCAGGTTGCCCAGGGAAGCTGTGGCTGCCCCATCCCTGGCAGTGTTGAAGGGCAGGTTGGATGGGGCTTGGAGCAACCTGGGCTGCTGGGAGGTGTCCCTGCCCATGCAGGGGTGGGACTGGATGAGCTTTAAGGTCCCTTCCAACCCAAACCAGTCTGGGATTCTATGATTCAATATCATCTTCCAGCTGTTATTCCAGCACTGCCAAGGCCACCATTCACCCATGTCCCTCAGCTCCTGGCTCTGCCATAAGGAGTTACCATCTGCTGCCTGGTGGGGCTGGGACTCAGGAAACACCTTCATGACCACGGAGCTGGGCAGGAAACACCTGGAAAAACAGAGGAGATATTTATTTTCTTTCCCTCCCCCCTTTCAAATCCTCTCTCACAGCTGCCACCAGCAGGATTTGGGTTTGTCAGGCTGTGAACATCAAGTTCACAGATCATGGAATCATGGGATTGGTTTTGGTTGGAGAAGACCTCTAAGATGATCAAATCCAGCTCTTCCCCCAGCCCTGCCAAGGCCACCACTAAACCCTGTCCCTCAGCACCACGTCTACACGGCTTGGGTGCAGCCTCTTGATGTTCTTCAAGGATCTGCATCATCCAGGCTCTCCCTTGCTCCAAAGCTGTTGGAGATGTGGTGGAAACCATCGACCACCTTCCTCTCTGTGCTTCCTTGCAGGCTGGATCACAGGCACTACCTCCTGGAGTGTCCCCACAAATACAGCGTCGCTGACCTGAGGCAGGTGAGAACTTTTCAGGTGGTCCTTGAGGTTTGGCTGCTGGAAACATCCCAGCACCAGCACCAGGAGAAGGTTCCTCACAGCTTGGTTTCCCTTTTACCTGTATCCTCCCAACAACTACAGAGATCACACCAGATAAACTGTTTCTCCTCTGTTCAAACCAGCCCATGGGTCTCCAGACAAAGCTCTACCTGTCCCAAATTATGCTGGAGGTGATTGGTGGGTGGTGGGATTTTGAATTGACTCCAGGGCCAGGAGCCCTGTCCCAGCTCAGTGGGTGTTACTGCCAGTGCTCCCCAGGGGCTCCCCTTGGGACCGTGGGGTGTGGGTGGTTTTTGGGGACAGCCCCATGTCTGGGGGGCAGCACCACAGAGTGGCCTTGACCTGGATTTCCCCAGTGCAAACCCAGCAGGAGATGAGCTCCTGATGGGCCTCAAGTGGTACCAGGGAAGGTTTAGATTGGAGATTAGGAGAAACTTCTTCCCTGAAAGGGTGATCAGAGAATCACAGAATTGTTCTGGTTGCAAAACACCTTGAAGCTCATCCAGCCCAACCCTTCCCCCAGCCCTGCCCAGGCCACCCCTGCCCCGTGTCCCTCAGCACCATCTCCAGGGCTTGGAAACCCCTCCAGGGATGGGGACTCCCCCCCTGCCCTGGGCAGCCTGGGCCAGGCCCTGACAACCCTTGCCAGGGAGAAACTGTTCCCAAGGTCCAACCTCAGCCTCCCCTGGCACAACTTGAGGCTGGTTCCTCTGCTCCTGCCCCTTGTTCCTGGGGAGCAGAGCCCGACCCCCCTGGCTCCAACCTCCTCTCAGGCAGCTGCAGAGCCAGCAGGTCTCCCCTCAGCTCCTTGGCTCCAGGCTGGACACCCCCAGCTCCCTCAGCTGCTCCTGCTCAGTCTGGCCCAGGCTTCCCAGGGAGGTGGTTGAATCCCCATCCCTGGAGGTGTCTCCAAGCCCTGGAGATGTGGTGCTGAGGGACATGGGTTAGCACTGAACTCAGTAGGGTTGGGTTAGTGGTTGGTAGAATCAGGTTATGGTTGGACTCAGTGATCTCAGAGGACATTTCCAACCAGCCCCTTCCTGTGCTCTCTGCCCCCTAGATTGCTGATGGTGGCTTTGAGACCTTCCTGCAGGCCCTGATCCAGTTTGCTTCCCACCACGTCTACAACTGTGACCTGTGCACCCAACGTGGCTTCATCTGCCAGATCTGCAACAGCAGTGACATCATTTTTCCCTTCGAGTTTGACACAACCTCCAGGTGAGCAATGTCCCCTCCCACCACTGCAGGGCCACCTGAGCTCCTGGCCTGGCTTGTCCCAGGAGCCTGAACCATCCCCGGGATCCCACTCAGGGACTTGGGGCAGGGCTGTCAAGGAACATAGCCCTGGGGTGGCCTGGAGATACCTCTGAGCTGGTTGTGCATCCTCGTGGTGCCCATGTCCTCGTGGTGCCCATGTCCTTTTGATGTCCATGTCCTCGTGGTGCCCATGTCCTCATGGTTCCCATGTCCTTGTGGTTCCCACCTCATGGTGCCCAAGTCCTCACAGTTTCTATGTCCTCATGCTACCCATCTCCTCATGGTTGCCATGTCCTCATGGTGCCCATGTCCTTTTGATGTCCATGTCCTTGTGGTGCCCATCTCCTCATGGTTGCTATGTCCTTGTGGTACCCATGTCTTCACCATACCACATCCTCATGGTGCCCACACCCTCACAATACCCATGTACCCATCAGTGTTTCCAGGCAAACTGGGCTGTCTGGGGCAGGGAAGGACCATCCTCACAGAAAGGAGATGTCACCAAGGGTGGTGGCTTTGCAGGCTGAAGGTGCAGAGCCACCAGCTCCTTGTTGCCAGCCTGCAGGAGCCTCGCTGGCCCCCAGGGCAGCAGGGCAGGAGGAAGGTGCTGTGTCCTCCTGCCTCACTCACCTGGCCACCACATCTCCTGGCCACCACATCTCCTCGCCAATTCCAACCCAGGAGGAGCCCCAGTGGGAATGTCCAAACATCCCAGACAGGGCAGGAAGGACACATGGATGTGGAGATGGAGGGTGGGCAGCCCTGTGGGACATGCTGGGGACATTCCAGCAGGATAAGGGGGACATTGGCTTTCAGCTGGGTTTGGAGCTGGCAAGGTCCTCACCTGCAGTGGGGTCACTGGGTGCTGGAATCCCAGGGTGGAGGTTGTCCAGGGGGTGTCCCCATCATCAGGCTTCTTCAGAGAAACCAATGTCAGACCTTCCAGGCCCAGAGCCTGGTGGACACAGATCCCATCTCCATGCTTAGTTGTTAATGGTCAATTTGGAATCATGCTCATCATGGTGGAGGTTGAGCAGATCAGCAGGGTCCTGCCCTGAAGGCCACCAGCAACATCCAGAGACCACAGAAAATGCCAAGGAGTCCAAACTGCCCATTTCCCTGTGCCTCACCTGGGTGCAAACATCTCCTGGGTGGCTGAGCAGGGTCCCTCCCTCCCCTCCTCCCCACAGTGACACCATCGTGCTTGTTCTCATAGAATCATGGACTGGTTTGGGTTGGAGGGACCTTAAAGATCATCCAGTGCCACCCCCTGCATGGGCAGGGACACCTCCCAGCAGCCCAGGCTGCTCCAAGCCCCATCCAACCTGCCCTTCAACACTGCCAGGGATGGGGCAGCCACAGCTTCCCTGGGCAACCTGGGCCAGGCTCTCACCACCCTCACACCAAAGAATTCCCTCCTCATGTCTCACCTCAATCTCCCTCTCCCAGTTTTCCTCCATCCCCCTCATCCCATCCCTCCCTGCCCTTGTCCCAAGCCCCTCCCCAGCTTTCCTGGAGCCCCTTCAGGCACTGGAAGCTGCTCTAAGGTCTCCCTGGAGCCTTCTCTTCTCCAGGCTGAACACCCCAACTCTCCCAGCCTGTCCCAGAGCTGCTCCAGCCCTCCCATCATCTCTGTGGCCTCCTCTGGATTTGCTTTGGGAGCTCCATGTCCCTCTTGTGTTGGGGGTTCCAGAACTGGACCCAGTTCTCTAGGTGGGGTCTCACCAGAGCAGAGTAGAGGGGGAACAGGACAACATCCCCAGGGGACTGATGTTCTCTCAAAAAAAGACCCTGGGGGCTCTGGAAAGGGCAGCAGATGGGACTGGGCTCCTCTGGCAGCAGCTGGAAGGTCCATGCCCTGCAGATCCAGGCTCTTGAGTTTTTTTATCTCATTTTTGTATTTGCTCTTTTCAATTTCTTCTGCTGGGGGAGGTTTGTGCAGCAGGAAAGCAGCTCGACCAACATCCTCAGCCTGGCTTCCTGCCCCCCAGGGGACAGCCAGCTGCCTGGGCCACTGCTGCCCCTCACCACAGGATGTGGCTGAAATGCCTCCTCACAATGATCCCAGCCAGGCAGGGGATGTTCTCCTGTTCCTCACTTCCTCCAGGCAGGGGATGTTCTCCTCACTTCCTCCAGCTGCTCTTCTGGCAGGTGGAGGTGGCAGATGCTGCTGGTCAGTGAGCTCAGAAACACCCCGGGTGTCTGAAGGGCCCCACAAGAAAGCTGGGAAGGGGCTTTTTGGGCCGTGGGGTAGTGGTAGGAGTAGGTGGAAGGGATCAAAACTAGAGGTGGGGAGATTCAGGTTAGACCTTAGGAAGAAGTTCTGCAGCATGAGGGTGGTGAGAGCCTGGGCCAGGTTGCCCAGAGAAGCTGTGGCTGCCCCATCCCTGGCAGTGTTGAAGGGCAGGTTGGATGGGGCTTGGAGCAGCCTGGGCTGGTGGGAGGTGTCCCTGCCCATGCAGGGGGTGGGACTGGGTGATCTTTAAGGTCCCTTCCAACCCAAACCATTCTATGATTCTATAAAAACCCACCTCCCAGCTCTGCAAGTCCCCCTGCTCTCAGGGAGGAGATGGATGGGGAGATTCCCCCCTGGGATGACCAGGGCACCTTCCCCACCCCACGAGTCCCTGCACGAGCCTGTTCCATACCCTGAGCATCCCAGGTTTGCAGCTGCTGGTGGGAGCAGGATTTGACCCAGGCTGTGACATGTCCCTGTCCCTGTCCCTTCACTGCCCTCTGGAGGATGAAGGGGTTGGGGTGGTGACCCCCAGGGGGTGGCACTGGAGGGCACTGGAAAACAACCCCGGGCAAGTGGCCTGCTGGCAGGGGCTGGGATGGGAAGGTTGAAGGAGCAGAGCTGGGAAGAAGGGAGCTCAGCCTTGGTGGCCCAGGACCAGGACCAGGAAGAAGGGAGCCTTGGTGGCCCAGGACCAGGAAGAAGGGAGCCTTGGTGGCCCGACCTTTCATCCCATTGACTCAGGCTCCTGGTGAACGCCCCGGGCCGGGCTGGGTGTCCCCTCCCCCTGCCCAAGGTGTCATTTCAGTCTGTTTACAT